CTGGCCGGGACCTGACTGGCTACCTCATGAAGATCCTCATGGATCACCTCTACAGCTTCGCCTCCACGACGGAGCGGGAAATCTTGCGCGTCATCAAGGAGAAGCGGTGCTACCTCATCCTGGACTTGGATCCGGAGATGGCAGTGGAGGCCTCCAGCTCCTCCCTGGAGAAGAGCTACGAGCTGCCCAACAGCCAGGTCATCACTATCAGCAAAGAGTGGTTCCACTGCCCTAAGGCGCTCTTCTAGCCTTCCTTCCTGAGCGTGGAATCCTGTCGCATCCACGAAACTACCTTCAACTCCATCATGAGGTGTAACGTAGACATCCACAAAGACCTGTACGCCAACCCAGTGCTGTCTGGCGGCACCACCGTGTACCCTGGCATCGCCGACAGGATGCAGAAGGAGATCACCACCCTGGCGCCCAGCACGATGAAGATCAAGATCATTGCTCTGTTCCAGCGCAAATACTCCGTGTGGATCGATGGCTCCATCCAGGCCTCTGTTCACCTTCCAGCAGATGTGGATCAGCAAGCAGGAATACTTTGAGGCCAACCCCTGCAGCTCTCCATCATCCACTACAAATGCTTCTAGGCGGACTGTTACTTAGTTATATTACACCCTTTCTTGACAAAACCTAACTTGCCCAGAAAACAACGTGAGATTGTCATGGCTTTATTTGGTTTTATTTTGTGTGTGTGTGTGTTTGTTTTTGTTTTTTGGGCATCAGGGGCTTGACTCAGGACTTAAAAACTGGGACAGTGCAGGTGACAGCAGTCAGTTGGAGTGAGCATGCCCCAAAGTTCTACAGGGTGGGCGAGGACTTTGTCAGTTGTTCTTTTTTTTAATAGTCATTCCAAATATCCTGAAATGCATTGTTACAGAAAGTCCCTTGCCCGCCTAAAAGCCACCCTACTTCTATCTAAGGAGAATGGCCCAGTCCTTTCCTGAGTCCACACTGGGGAGGTGATAGCATTGCTTTCATGTAAATTGTGTAATGCAATTTAAAAAACACTTTGCCTTAATACTTTTCATTTTGTTTTATTTTGAATGATCAGCCTTTGTGGCCCTCCTTTTTTGTCCCCCCATTTTGAGATGTATGAAGGCTTTTGGTCTCCCTGGGAGTGGGTGGAGGCAGCCAGGGCTTACCTGTACACTGATTTGAGACCAGTTGAGTAAAAGTGCACACATTTAAAAAAAAAAAAAAGAACGTAGAACAATCCAGGCACATATTTCTAAGATATATGGCATATTAAATGAGACCCTTCAGTGGGTCTTTTAATAGAGGCTCCAAAGCTGAGAAAAATAAATATGAAGTACCCTAAGCATTCTAAAAGAGGATGCCAGACCATCCCCACAGGACATGCTGGTAGAATGTGAAAGCCATTTAGCAATCCTCCATTCTCACACACCTCCCAGGAATAATAAATCAGGATTGATGAAAGAAGATTGGAGGATAAACATGCCTAGCAGGGCCAGGCTTGGTGGCTCACACCTGTAATCCCAGCACTTTGGGAGGCTGAGGCAGGTGGATAACTTAAAGCGGAGTTCAAGACCAGCTTGGGCAACATGATGAAACCTGGTCTCTACTAAATATACAAAAACTAACTGGGTGTGGTGGCGAATGCCTGTAGTCTCAGCTACTTGGGAGGCTGAGGTGGGAGGATGATGGCTTGAGCCCAAGAGATGGAGGTTACAGTGAGCCAACATTGTGCTACTGTACTCCAGCCTGGGTGACAGAGCCATACCCTGTCTCAAAAAAAAAAAAAAAAAAAAAAAAGGTAAGAGACAGTTTTCTGGAGTGCTGTGCATTTTTGTTCCCCTTTCCAGGAGTGGGAAGAAGAGAGTGCTTATCCCATACTATCTCCACCTCAAGCCAAGTAAAGGAAATTTAGGCAAGTTGACTGTGCCCTGGAATTTATGTCACCTGGAAAAGTCTTAAAGCAATGGACTATCTAGGGAAGGCTTTGATGGCAGAACAGAGAGAGGGAGAGAGAGAGAGAGAGAGAGAGAGAGAGAGAGAGAGAGAGAGAGACCTACAGCAGAAAGGGCCTGTACTCGCAACTTTGCAAGAAAAATTCTCCTGTGGGCCATATGAGTGTCACGGAATGTAGCCAGACTTGAATTATCTTAGAAGGTTGTATCTTCAAACCACGTTTAAATTGACCATCTAAATGAGCAGCCACAGGTTTTTCGGTCCAGGATTGGGGAATGAAACAATAAGAGGTCCCTAGCAAAGGAGACAGTCATTGAGGAACATACAAAAGGGCCAAGAAAAGAGCCAGCATTTAGGAATGAGCCACATGAAGAAGGTACTAAAGTCAATCTTATTTTTATTTATTTATTTAGAGTCTCACTCTGTCACCCAGGCTGGAGTGCAGTGGCACAATCTTTGCTCACTGCAACCTCTACCTCCTGGGTTTGAGCGATTCTCCTGCCTCTGCCTACTGAGTAGCTGGGACTACAGGCACATTTCACTATGTCTGGCTAATTTTTGTTTTTTTGTTTTGTTTTATTTGAGATGGAGTCTTGCTCTGTCACCAGTCTGGAGTACAGTGGTACGATCTCAGCTTACTGCAACCTCTGCCTCCTGGGTTCAACCAATTCCACTGCCTCAGTCCCCACATCTGGCTAATTTTTTGTAGTTTAGTAGAGATGGGGTTTCACCATGTTGGCCAGGATGGTTTTGATTGTCTGACCTCATGATCTGCCCTCCTCAGATTCCCAAAGTGCTGGGATTACAGGCTTGAGCTATGGCGCCTGGCCCCAAAGTCAGATTTAATTGCACTGGTTGGGTATATCTAATATTTTATTTAGAATAGTTAGGATCACTGCTCATTCTAGCTGAAACAATATGTGGCCAATGCACTTTATGAATGATTGATTAGTGGAAACAGCATTTATCAAGTGACGACATAAAGCATTAAGCCTGACAGAAGAAGTCTAGCACATTGAGGATTTAAAAGCTATTATATATCCTAAGTGGATTAACACTTTTAGGTAATCCGTAGCTCCAATTACTTCTCCTATTAACTGCAAAAACTTGGCAGTCCCAAGAAATACCTCAGGGCCTCCTTTCAAATATATATAATGCTATAGGGCATATATTGGCCATTATATCTTTACTCTCATTACCCACCAAAAGTATTTCACAGGACCCTCTATAAGTCAGAACTAGGCTAACCAAGGCATCTAGAATTCAGGGTATGGTTCTAGATGCTAATTTAGAACATCTATTCAGAGTACAGGGGTCTGTACACATATCTAACTACTACAGATTCAGTTCCTCAAAACATTAAATATAGAGTTAGATGGTCCAGCAATTCTACTCCTAGGTAATGCCCAAGAGAATTGAAAACATACATCCATACAAAAACTCATACATGAATATGCATAGCAGCATTATTCTTTTATTTATTTTTATTTTTATTTTTTTCAGATGGAGTCTTGCTCTGTCACCCTGACTAGAGTGCAGGGTAGGATCTCAGCTCACTGCACCCTGTTTCCCAGGCTCAAATGATTCTCCTGTCTTGGCCTCCTCAGTAGCTGGGATTACAAGCACCCACCATCATGCCCAGCTAATTTTTGTATTTTTAATAGGGACTGGGTTTCACCATGTTGGCCAGGCTGGTCTCGAACTGCTAAACTCAAGTGATCCTCCAGCCTGGGCATCCCAAAGTGCTGGAATTATAGGCGTGAGCCACCCTACCCGGCCTACAGCATTATTCTTTTGTTTTGTTTTGTTTTGAACGTAACAGTCTCACTGTGTCGCCAGGCTGGAGTGCAGTGGCACGATTTTGGCTCACTGCAACCTCCATCTCTCGGGTTCAAGCAATTCTCCTGCCTCAGCCTCCAGGGTAGCTGGGACTACTGGACTACACGCTACCACGCCCCGCTGATTTTCTTTTTGTGTTTTTAGTATAGACGGGGTTTCACCTTGTTGGCCAGTATGGTCTCGATCTCTTGACCTCCTGATCCGCCTGCCTCGGCCCCTGAAAGTGCTGGGATTACAGGCTTGAGCCACCGTGCCAAGCCCAGCATTATTCTTAATGGCCAAAAAGTAGAAACGAATGTCCACCAACTGTTGAATAAATAAAGTGTGATATAGTCATACAATATTATTTGGCCATAAAAAGAAATGATGAAATGATAAATGTTACAACATGGATGAATCTTAAAAACATGTTAAGTAAAGAAGCCTGTCAGGATGGACACGGTAGTAGCCTCTCAAGTAGCTGGGACTACAGGTACGTGCCACCCTGCCCGGCTAATTTTTGCATTTTTTAGTATTCTTCAGTTTTCTAATTCAGCGGGAAACACAGAAAAAAGCTAAAGAGGGAATGAAATCCATAATAAATGTATCATCTATACAGGACTAGAATGCCTCTTAACACTCATTCATTTGAGGACTGAGGTAGACGTTCTTAATCTTAGATCCATGGACTGTTTTCAGGGTTTTGAACATATATATATATATATATATATTTTTTTTTTTTTTTTTTTTTTTTTTTTTTCTTTAACGTAATGAGCATGTGTATATGCATTCTTTTCCCAGCGGAAAGGCTACATCGTTTTCACCAGATTGACAACCGTTCTAGATCCCCGACAGGTTACGAACTGCAATACTAGTTTTTCACAGGTTTGTAATGTAAATGGATGCAATTCGTCGAATCTAGTTTTTATATCCACTCGAGGAGACAGGAGTTTCTACCCTAAACAAAAATGGCGGGAGGTGCTTCACACATACCCCATCGCAGAAAGCCTAGAAGGCCCGCTCCGCTTTCTCTCCACCTTCCCACTCCTGACCCCGGAAGGACTCCGCCTTCCCCCGTCAGGCTGTTGTCGCTCAGCGCCTGGCTGCAGCTGGGAAGCAGGCGTGGGCAGACCAGCCGTACCTGGCCTGGAGCTCCAGGTACAGGCACGGGCGGGGTGGGGTGGACAGGCGGGCAGAGGAAGGGGAGAGCTAGGTAATCACGCAGTTGGGGCAGAGCCCCCGGGGCAGGGGTGGCGCGGACTCCATCGCTGGCGTTGGCTCTCTTCCGAGCCAGGTGGAGCGGCGGAAAGCCGGAGGGTCGACGGCCGTGCCAGCTTGAACACCCCCGTCCTCGTCTCATCTCAGAAGCTAAGCAGGGTCGGGCCTGGTTAGTAATGCAGGAGGGTCCCCACGCCGGAGGGAGGCCTGCAAAGGAAGTGCGGAATTGGGATGGAACAGCTCGGAGCCCAAGGAAGGGTCTGGACGGCCGAGCTGGAGGGATCCCCTTTTCTGGTCCACTTGGTACAGAAAAAGGAAGACAGCCGAGGACAGCTCGGCGAAGGGCTGCTGTGGGATTGGGGGAGAGCCCGCTGGAGGTTGGGCAGCTGGTGAGGTCCCAGGTTCGGCTTGGATGCGGGTGGTTTTGAGCAGGGAGTGGCTTTGGAGTGTGAAAGATTACACTGCTTTGCAGGTGCTTTCAGAGAATAATTTAGCACGACAATGTTGTGGTGTCAGATCCTTCTGTAAGTAGTTAAATATCTATTTTCCGGAGGGAGGACTCAGCTTGTTTTTGTACAAGACTTTGAGACCTTTGTTATTGTTGTTATTGCAACTAAACATTTTTGCTCTGTTCAAAGTGGCTTCTCAGAGTTAGGTTATATAGATTTGTACTTCACGTTAATTTTCTTTTTGGTATTTCAGACTTTCCTTCCTGTTGGATTATAAAGTCAAAGTTGTAGGATAGAATTTTAAGATGTGTAAGACACAACTGTTTATGACACTTATTTTTATTTCCCAAGTAGTTGGAATGGAGAGGACAAGTAATATCACACAGGACAATATTTTGGGTTATGTTTTATAGATTCCTTCTACAAATTTGAATAATCATGAAACCACTTTCATATTTATTTTTAGTATACTTCTGAAAGCAACTGAAATGACTAGATTTTTTGTTTGTTTTTCAATTAATAATGATTAGGCTTGGAATCAACTTCCTCAGTAATTTTAAATGAAGGAATGAGGTAGTTAGAATGCAAAAATAGAGGTTTGTCACAATCTTTTTTTTTTTCTTTCTTTCTTTTTGAGACGAAATCTCACTCTGTCACCCAGGCTGGAGTGCAGTGGCGCTATCAGGGCTCATTGCAACCTCCGCCGCCCGGGTTCTAGAAATTATTCTGACTCAGCCTCCCAAGTAGCTGGGATTACAGGCGTGTGCCAACACGCCCTGCTAATTTTTTTGTATTTGTGGTAGAGACGGGTTTCACCATGTTGGTCAGGCTGGTCTGGAACTCTTGACCTCAAGTGATCCACCTGCCTCAGCCTCCCAGAATGCTGGGATTACGGGCATGGGCCATAATCTTTTAAGAAAATCTCTGTAGCCAATTAAAGTGTTTGCTTTATTTTCCTTCTCTTATGCTTAAAATTTGGAATGCTCTATTATAGGTAAAATTCCTTTGGCTGAATTACTCAGTTATTTTTTTTTAATGCAGTAGCATAGATTGCTTAATGATCCAGAATCTAATTAATAAAAATGTTTCTCAAAATAAAATTTATTAATTTTTAGGGAGGGAGAAGAATAAATGTGCTTCTCCTCACCTCCTTTTTACTATAGTAATAAAAAGTAATGCATGTAGGCAAGTTTTTAAAAATCAAGTATTACAGACAGACTTTTTTTTCTTTTTTTGTCTTTTTGTTTTTTTCCTTTTTGTGGAGAACAAGGTCCTGCTATATTGCCCAGGCAGTTCTCTAACTCCTGGGTTCAAGCTAACCTCCCGCCTCTGCCTCCCTAAGAGCTGGGATTACATACAGACTTATAAGGAAAGGTAGTTATTTTCTGCCCAGCTTCTCTATACCCCTTGTCTTATTCTCCAGGGGATCATTTTTCACTTGCTTAACTGTTCATGGTTTCTTCTGTACTTTTAATCATATGTCTGTATCACAGATTGTTGATTGAAATAAATGTATGTCAGTTAGAACTAACTATACTGAGTCTAAAAGTTGTACTTAGAACATTGGTGGGGGAACTAAGTAAGCATCAGTAGTAGTAACCCACGCTGAGAGGTATTGCTGTGTTTGATTTGAAACCACTACTTAACCAGTGGTTCTGACACCTGTCTGAAAACAGGTGAGTATTGATGAAAGGGAATTGTCTACTGGAGTACAGAAAAAGAGAACATAGAGATATATGCAGAAATGAAGGGCCTAAAAAAGCATAGCAAATCATTTATTTCTTTTTTTGGAATAGACAGGGTTTCACTATGTTGCCCAGACTGGTCTTGAACTCCTGGGCTCATGGGCTCAAGCCATCCACCCACCTCGGCCTCCCAAAGCCACTCCCAAAGTGGCTCAGGCATGAGCCACTGTGCCCAGCTGCAAATAAACTTTTATAGAGGGATTGTTGGTAATTTTTATATTCTGTTATGTAATATATAGCACTATTCAAAGAAAAGAAATAATAAATTTGGTAGGCATAAACATTCTGGTTATTGGAGAAGCCCATTCTCTTGTACATTAGAGATAGTACTTAGGCGTTTTCTTGGCCTGAGTGAAATATTTCTTAGAACTCTTAATTTTTGCAGTCATCAGGCAACATTTTTGACTTATCAGTTCAGCTTCCTACAGTCTTTGATTTCAGGGAGGATATGTTTTGATAGAATAAGTATTCTGGTCACTAGATAGTATGTTTCTTTATTATAAGTAGATAAACTTGTAAACTGATTTATGCATTAATACCATGTAATTTTGTGATAATACAGTGATAAAATTATGTTTCTGGCTCTGTAAAGTAGAGACCCAGACCCTGAACCACTGACTGCTTCTCTGTACTCATCTGACTTCTTTTCTTGGTCAAGAGAAATAATACACATTAAAACCATACCAAAATCATATAGCATGTATGTGGCATTTTGTTTGAAGATCTTTAAAATGAGATAGTAGGAGAATAAATGCATGAGTTCTGATGTTCAGTCAGTGAACTCTGAGGTTCTAGCCCCAGGATTCTGTTCCAGATTCATTCAGCAACCCGTCTGCCGCCCACTCTCACCTCTGAAGTTGTATGAAGGAAACAAAATGAATGGGAAGAAGTAAATTTTAAATATTCTCTAAAATATGTTAAATTTTTATGTAACCAGAAAAGAGAGAATCTAGAACTTGCAATTTCCTAGGGAAAATTTGCTGCCTGGACTCAAAGTTTAAATCTCGCTCACTTACTTGCCTGCCTGCTTGCTTTCTCTCTCTCTCTCTCAATCAATTGCTCGCTTTCTTTCTTTCTGCTATCTCCTAAAGGAAGGATCAGCTTAAGTGTAGTGTCATCAATAATTGGCTGTAAAAATAAGCTGATAGAATTAAATTTTCAGTTTGTACCTTTCACTGTTAAAGTAACCAGAAATCTTTGTGGCTAATATGTGTTTATGTTTCATTTAATGAAGATTAGAAGAGGAGCCATGTCAGAAGAAACCATAAGTGAATCACAGTTTTCCTTGAAGACAGCAGCACTAAGAGTGTTTGACCTTCCTCTGTCTTGGTACTATTCTGTCTCCCAGGTAAATAAAAGAAGCAAACATGAAGTTTTTTGAAGTTTCTATATGATACAGTCAAAATATTTATTATAGTAGTTTAAAAACCTACTTGGTTATTTTATGGGGTTTTGCTTTTTGGTTATCATAACTCTTAAAAAGGGGTCACATTACTTGAAATTTTTTTTCTATCTTAAGTGAACTTATGTAGTCCATTATTATTACTTTCAGTGAATTGTGTTATTCTAGTAGGCCTGTTCTCACTATTAACAATCCTTTTAATTTTATTGTGGTAAGGTACAAATAACATAAAATTGAACATTTTGATCATTTTTTTTAATTGCATTTTAGGTTTTGGGGTACATGTGAAGAACATGCAAGATTGTTGCATAGTACACACATGGCAGTGTGATTTGCTGCCTTCCTCCCCTTCACTTATATCTGGCATTTCTCCCCATCCTATCTCTCCCCAACTCCCCACCCCCCACTGTCCCTCCCTATTTCCCCCCAACAGATCCCAGTGTGTGATGCTCCCCTCCCTGAGTCCATGTAGTCTCATTGTTTAACACCCGCCCATGAGTGAGAACATGTGGTGTTTGATTTTCTGCTCTTGTGTTTTAATTTAGTTGAGAATGATGGTTTCCAGGTTCATCCATGTCCCTACAAAGGACACAAACTCATCATTTTTGATGGCTGGCTAATATTCCATGGTGTATATGTGCCACATTTTCCCTGTCCAGTCTATCATTGATGGGCATTTGGGTTGATTCTAGGTCTTTGCTATTGTAAACAGTGCTGCAATGAACATTCGTGTGCATGTGTCCTTATAGTAGAACGATTTATAATCCTTTGGATATATACCCAGTAATGAGATTGCTGGGTCAAATGGAATTTCTATTTCTAGATCCTTGAGAAATCGCCACACTGTCTTCCACAATGGTTGAACTAATTTACACTCCCACCAGCACTGTAAAAGTGTTCCTATTTCTCCACATCCTCTCTAGCATCTGTTGTCTCCAGATTTTTTAATCACCATTCTAACTGGCATGAGATGGTATCTCAATGTAGTTTTGATTTGCATTTCTCTAATGACCAGTGATGATGAGCATTTTTTCATGTTTGTTGGCCTCATATATGACTTCTTTTGTAAAGCATCTGTTCATATCTTTTGCCCACTTTTGAATGGGCTTGTTTTTTTTTTTCTTGTAAATCCGTTTTAGTTCTTTGTAAATTCTGGATATCAGCCCTTTGTCAGATGGGTACACTGCAAAAATTTTTTCCCATGCTGTTGGTTGCCGATTCACTCTAATGACTGTTTCTTTTGCGTGCAGAAGCTGTGGAGTTTGATTAGGTCCCATTTGTCTATTTTGGCTTTTGTTGCCAATGCTTTTTGTGTTTTGGTCATGAAGTCCTTGCCTACGCCTATGTCCTGAATGGTTTTGCCTAGATTTTCTTCTAGGGTTTTTATGGTGTTAGGTCTTATGTTTAAGTCTTTAATCCATCTGGAGTTAATTTTAGTGTAAGGTGTCAGGAAGGGGTCCAGTTTCTGCTTTCTGCACATGGCTAGCCAGTTTTCCCAACAACATTTATTAAACAGGGAATCCTTTCCCCATTGCTTGTTTCTGTCAGGTTTATCAAAGATCGGATGGTTGTAGATATGTTGTGTTGCCTCCGAGGCCTCTGTTCTGTTCCATTGGTCTATATCTCTGTTTTGGTACCAGTACCATGCTGTTTTGATTACTATAGCCTTGTAGTATAGTTTGAAGTCCGGTAGTGTGATGCTTCCCGCTTTGTTCTTTTTGCTTAGAATTGACTTGGCTATGCAGGCTCTCTTTTGGTTCCATATGAAGTTTAAGGTGGTTTTTTCCAGTTCTGTGAAGAAGGTCATTGGTAGCTTGATGGGGATAGCATTGAATCTAAATTACTGTGGGCAGTATGGCCATTTTCACGATACTGATTCTTCCTAACCAGGAACATGGAATATTTCTCCATCTCTTTTTGTTCTCTCTTATTTTGTTGAGCAGTGGTTTGTAGTTCTCCTTTAAGAGGTCCTTTATGTTTCTTATTAGTTGTATTCCTAGGTATTTTATTCTCTTTGTAGCAATTGTGAATGGCAGTTCGTTCTTGATTTGGCTTTCTTTAAGTCTGTTATTGATGTATAGGAATGCTTGTGATTTTTGTACATTGATTTTGTGTCCTGAGACTTTGCTGAAGTTGCTTATCAGTTTCAGTAGATTTTGGGCTGAGACGACAGGGTCTTCTAGATATACAATCATGTTGTCTGGAAATAGAGACTATCTGACTTCTTCTTTTTGAATACCTTTATTTCTTTTTCTTGCCTGGTTGCTCTGGCTAGAACTTCCAGTACTGTATTGAATAGGAGTGGTCAGAGAGGGCATCCTTGTCTAGTGCCAGATTTCAAAGGGAATGCTTCCAGTTTTTGCCCATTCAGTATGATATTGGCTATTGGTTTGTGGTAAATAGCTTTTATTATTTTGAGATACGTTCTGTCAATACCTAGTTTATTGAGGGTTTTTAGCATAAAGGGCTGTTGAATTTTGTCAAAGGCCTTCTCTGCATCAATTGAGATAATCATGTGGTTTTTGTCTTTGGTTCTGTTTATGTGGTGAATTATGTTTATAGACTTGCATATGTTGAACCAGCCTTGTATCGCCAGGTTGAATCCTACTTGATTATGGTGGATAAGCTTTTTGACGTGCTGTTGCAATCGGTTTGCCAGTATTTTATTGAAGATTTTTGCATCTATGTTCTTCGTGGATCTGGGCCTGAAGTTTTCTTTTCTTGCTGAGACTTGCCGGGTTTTGATATCAGGATGATGTTGGTCTCATAAAATGATTTGGGAAGGATCCCCTGTTTTTGAATTATTTGGAATCGTTTCAGAAGGAATGGTACCAGCTCCTCTTTGTATGTCTGGTAGAATTCGGCTGTGAACCCATCTGGACCTGGGCTTTTTTTGGGTGGTAGGCTCTTAATTGCTGCCTCAACTTCAGACCTTGCTATTGGTCTATTCAGGGTTTTGACTTCTTCCTGGTTTAGGCTTGGGAGGATGCAGGTGTCCAGGAATTTATCCATTTCTTCCAGGTTTACTAGTTTATGTGCATAGAGTTGTTTGTAATAATCTCTGATGATGGTTTGAATTTCTGTGGGGTTTGTGGTGATATCCTTTTTATCATTTTTTATTGCTTCTATTTGATTATTCTCTCTCTTCTTTTTTATTAATCTGGCTAGTGGTCTGTCTATTTTGTTGAGCTTTTTGAAAAACCAGCTCCTGGATTTATTGATTTTTTTGAAGGGTTTTTTGGGGTCTCTATCTCCTTCAGTTCTGCTTTGATCTTAGTTATTTTTTGTCTTCTGCTAGGTTTTGAGTTTTTTTTGATCTTGCTCCTCTAGCTCTTTTAATTTTCACAATAGGGTGTCAATTTTAGATCTCTCCTTGCTTCTCGTGTGGGCATTTATTGCTATATTTTCCTCTAGAGTCTACTTTGAATGTGTCCCAGAGATTCTCGTATGTTGTGTCTTCGTTCTTGTTGGTTTCGAAGAACATCTTTATTTCTGCCTTCATTTCATTGTTCATCCAGTCAACATTCAAGAGCCAGTTGTTCAGTTTCCATGAAGCTGTGCGGTTCTGAGTTAGTTTCTGAATTCTAAGTTCTAACTTGATTGCACTGTGGTCTGAGAGACTGTTTGTTATGATTTCGGTTCTTTTGCATTTGCTGAGGAGTGATTTTCTTCCAATTATGTGGTCAATCTTAGAGTAGGTGCGATGTGGTGCTGAGAAGAATGTATATTCTATGGATTTGGGGTGGAGAGTTCTGTAAATGTCTATTATATCTGCTTGGTCCAGGTCTGAGTTCAAGTCCTGGATATCCTTGTTAATTTTCTGTCTCATTGATCTGTCTAATATTGACAATGGGGTGTTAAAGTCTTCCACACTTATTGTGTGGGAGTCTAAATCTCTTTGTGAGTCATTAAGAACTTTCCTTATGTCTCTGGGTGCTCCTGTATTGGGTGCATATATATTTAGCATCATTAGCTCTTCTTGTTGCATTGATCCTTTTACCATTATGTAATGTCCTTCTTTGTCTCTTTTGATCTTTGTTGCTTTAAAGTCTATTTTATCAGACACGAGAATTGCAACTCCTGCTTTTCTTTGCTCTCCATTTGCTTGGTAAATCTTCCTCCATCCCTTTATTTTGAGCCTTTGTGTATCCTTGCATGTGAGATGGGTTTCCTGGATATAGCACACCGATGGGTTTTGGCTTTTTATCCAATTTGCCAGTCTGTGTCTTTTGATTGGGGCATTTAGCCCATTTACATTTAGGGTTAATATTGTTATGTGTGAATTTGATACTGCCATTTTGATGCTAGCTGGCTGTTTTGCCTGTTAGTTGATGCAGTTTCTTCATTGTTTTAATGCTCTTTACTATTTGGTATGTTTTTGGAGTAGCTGGTACTGGTTGTTCCTTTCTGTTTAGTGCCTCTTTCAGGAGCTCTTGTAAAACAGGCCTGGTGGTGATGAAATCTCTGAGTACTTTCTTGTTTACAAAGGATTTTATTTTTCCTTCACTTATAAAGCTCAGTTTGGCTGGGTATGAAATTCTGGGTTGAAAGTTCTTTTCTTTAAGGATATTGAATATTGGCCTCCACTCTCTTCTTGTTTGTAGGGTTTCTGCCGAGAGATCTGCTGTGGATCTGATGGGGTTCCCTTTGTGGGTATCCCGACCTTTCTCTCTGGCTGCCCTTAGCATTTTCTCCTTCGTTTCAACCCTGGTGAATCTAACGATTATGTGCCTTGGGGTTGCTCTTCTTGAGGAATATCTTTGTGGTGTTCTCTGTATTTCCTGGACTTGAATATTGGCCTGCCTTGCTAGGTTGGGGAAGTTCTCTTGGATGATATCCTGAAGAGTATTTTCCAGCTTGGATTGATTCTCTCCATCACATTCAGGTATACCTTTCAAACGTAGATTAGGTCTTTTCACATAGTCCCATATTTCTTGGAGACTTTG